GGGCGGGCGGCGGCGCGCGGAGGGGGGGGCACGGAGCAGCCGGAGGAGGAGCCAGCCAAGGGGGAGCGGCCAGAGGAGGAGCCAAGGGGGCGCCTTTTTAGGTTTGCTCCCCCTCCTCTTGGAAGCTGGCTACGCCACTGATCCCAAACCTATATTATGTCCACTTGCCCATTAAGGGCAACATTCTCTAAACTTTCCACTCATTTCTGGGTGCCTCCAGGATTTGGGTGCTCAGCTTGAGACATCGGAGCAGCACAAAGTGGCTGTAGAGTAGGCCAGGATCAGGCTCCTGAGCCAAGTGGAGCATCAGGCTCTAACTTTAGCCACTAAAAAGCACATTTGGTACAGTTCCTTGGCCACTTGGAGTCAGGGGCCTGGTTCTCTTCCCTCATACACTAGTTTACAACAGTTTTACTCCATTGACTGCCCAGATTTTACTCCTGAATGACACTGATGTAACATTCTTATTAAACTTCAAACACATTTTGAAATAATTCCCATAATAAAACAAAGATCTAGAGAAGGGTGTTTTCCCTGTCTCATAACACAGGAACAAGAGGCTCTTCTTCTTAAGAGTGTCCCTGTGGGTGTTCCACTTTAGGTGTCTTGATGCCCTACACTTGTAATTGGAGATTTGTGGTAGCAGTGCCCAGTTGGGTTGCGCATGTACTGTCGCCGTCTTGCGCTGCTTCAGATGGTTACATAGCACTGCGCGACTAACCATCCCTCAGTTCCTTCTCTACTGCCTTTGGCTTGAGTCAGAGCGATCAGCAGCACCCTCTCTTACCCAGATAAGATTAGCTTTTAGATGCTTTATAGTTGTTAGTATAAGCAGTAGTTAGATATTCTACCCTTTATACCTATTTTATTTTAGTTAAAAAAAGTCTTCATTATGTACTCTTACTCCCCTCAGTAGGAAGATATGTTTAGCTCCAGTAGGATTATTACCCTCCGTTTTTGTAGGGGGACAGACTTTCCTCAGGCATGCCTGGATCACTGGGCTTGACATGCTGTCTGACTTGTAAACTGTCAGTCCCGGTTTCTGACAGACACGCACCGAGTGTCGGCTATCTCAGTGAGACACACATTACTCAAAAGTGTCCATGTTGCCAGAACCTCATGGCCAGGGCAAGAAAAACCAGGAATCTCCAACTTAAACTCCTTATGATGGAGAAATCCCTCAGGCTGGCCTCAGACCCCAAGTCCAGGACACCTTGGGGCCAACTGTAGCCATCGGCAGCCTTTGACAGAGGTTTTGTCCCAGCAGCACCTACAAAGGAGCCTTTACCCAAGAAAGGCAACCAAAAAGCATTCCCAGACTTCTCCGCACTGGGAATCCGTCATGAAAAAGCGATCCCTGACTGAAAAATCTAACCTGGTACTGACGGCACCAGGACTGTCCGGTTCCGAGAGTTCTCAGAGAGTGAAAGACCCTATGAAGGCAAGTTCGAATGGAGGCTCACAGAGCAAAGTGAAACCCTCCACGTCAGCACCCACGGAGCCGAAAAAAGCTTGGCACTGACCGACATAATGGTGCCATCTGTGGTACTTGTGCTACACAGCTCAAAACCCTTGGCACTGGCGGTTACAATTCACGACTCCCAGACTGTCAGCAACGCCGTCCCTGGTACTGAAGCTCACAGTTCCACAACAGTTCATGAGACATGCGGACCTAGTAGTCTCTTCAACACCAGAATCCCCTCTATTCAGTACTGAGGGTACTTCATCCAGCTTGGCACCAATTACTCCTCATCACTCCTCACCCAAACCTGAACCATCTCATCTACCAGCACACCACTCATCTGCAGAGGCACGACCTGGTATGGGCACTTCAGGGCACCACCTCCCATGCCATTCCTACTGAGCTGGCTCTACTGAGATCCATGGGCAATGTACAGGGCCCAACACTGCAGACCTCCTAGCCTGGTTAAGATCAAGAGCCGCACGATCCCCATCACCACCTATCCCAGCACCCTCAGAAACACAAGAGGAAGTGACTGAGAAAACTGAGGAAATATCTGCCCAGGAAGCCTCACCATCTACACACTTCTCATCTTCATCACCAGATGAAACGGTAATGCCACCATCCCCCACCACTGGGGATGGTTTCAAGGCCTCTTCAAAAGAGTAGCAGAATCGTTAGACATTTCTTTAGAATAGGTATCTGAAGCTCAACATAAGCTACTGGACATACTCCAGTCATCTCCATCAGCAAAGATAGCTTTACCGGTTAATGATGCTATTATGGTGCTTGCAAAAACCCTCTGGCAGACACCAGCAACAGCACCCCCATCATGCAAGAGATTGGACAAAAATTATTAAGTGCCATCTAAAGGTGCTGAGTTTTTATTTACACACCCCACACCAAACTCACTAGTGGTGGATGCAGAAATGAGAGTGGAAAACAACACCACTCTAGAACAACCCCATATGACAAAGATTGGAAAAGGTTAAATCTCTTCAGTCGCAAGACCTATTCCTCCATGACACTTCAGTTTCACATAGCTAATTATGCAGCTCAACTGGCAAAATACACACACGCTATCTTTTCGAAAATGTCAGAATTTATTGACAGTCTGCCTGACAATAAAAAGAACAATTTAAATTGAATATCACTGAAGAACATCTCATCGCCAAGATGGCCTTGCAGGCCTCTCTTGACTCTTCAGACAAGGCAGCATGATCCATTGCAATATCTGTGGTTATGTGCCATGCATCCTGGCTCCATCTCTCAGGGTTCCTCAGGGAGGTCCAGGCAATGGTCAAGGACTTACTCTTTGAAGGCCCAAAATTATTTGTGGCCAAAACGGACAAATCTCTCCACACTCTTAAAGACTCATGGGCAACTTTGAAATCCCTGGTATCTATGCACCTGCAAATAAAAAGAAAGAGGGCAGGTATTATACACAGAGATTCCGATCGCCGCCATATGCACAAAATAGACAGTATGACCAATGTCGCAAGCAAAGGCAAACCAGATGTTGAAACCTACAAAACCAACCTTTGACGTCCCAACAGTCCAACACTAGACAGCAATTTTGAAGGTCTGTTCAAGGACACGAAGCAACTGCACATTTTAACCCTAGAAATCATTCGGAGATTGATTGTCACCTTTTCACCGAGTCTGGCACAACATCACGATAGACAGATAGGTTTTAGAAATAATCTAAACTGGTTACTCCATTCCTTCAATCTCCATCCCCATCCCTCTTCAGGGACCCCTCTCATGAGTTACTGTTGTAACAGGAAGTAAATCATCTTCACCTAGGTGCAGTGGAACCTGTACCAACTCAACACAGAGGGAAAGGGTTCTATTCAAATTATTTCTCATGCAGAAAAAGACAGGCAGATGGAGACTCATATTGGATCTAAGGAAACTCAACAAATTTGAAAAAAAAAATTTCAAGATGGTGACACTATTAACCATAATTCCAGTGTTAGAAAAGGGGGACTGGCCCCTGGCCCTCAACCTTCAGGATATGTATTTCCACATTACTATCCACCCATCACACAGAAGATTCCTGAGGTTCATCCTAGGGAAATAACACTTCCAATACAAAGTACAACCCTTTGGCTTGTCCACCACCCCAAAGGTTTTCCCCAAGGTTCTAGCTGTTGTGGCAGTACACCTCCACAGCACAGAGTAATGATATTTCTGTACTTGGCCAACTGCCTTATAAGGGCACTAATACAACAAGAAGCAATAAATGCCACACAATACAGTACAATACCCTTTTCACGAGCCTAGGGTTACAAATAAACGCGCAAAAGTCCACACTGATTCCTGTCCAGAAATTGGAATTCATAGGAGCCTGTACTGTTCAACAGCAACGCTACCTCAACAATGCTTCATCACACTAATTTTGACCGTGATGGACAGCCCACAAACATCTGCCAGAATGTATTTACAGCTCTTGGGGCATATGTCAGCAATGACATTTGTTGTCAAACACACCAGACTTCACATGAGATGCCTGCAGACCTGGCTTCAAATAGTTTACACAGGGCACAATCTAAACAGATGTCATACAACACCACTCAGGATAAAAGACTCCCTAAAATGGGAGAATCAAAGAATGTCTGTAAAAGTCCCATTTCTACAAAAAACTCCAACAATGACAGTCACCACGGATGCTTCCCTAATAGGCTAGGGGGCACATCTACTCAACAATACAGTCCAAGGCCGTTGGTCCCTATTGGAGTCCAGCATGCACATAAACTTGCTGGAGCTAAGAGCAGTCCGCAATGCACACAAACACTTCCTACCTCTAATCAGAAACAAAACCATCAGTAGCCTCACAGACAATATAGTGTGCATGCTTTACATAAACCACCAAGGGGGCGGGGGGCACGGTCATGCTCCCTATGCACAGAGGCAATACAACTCTGGAATTGGTGTATCAGCAACAACATTGACATATCAGCATCCTACCTTTTGGGATGTCAAAACACAACAGCGGATGCCTTAAGCAGAGAGTTTTCACAAACTCATGAATGGGAGATAGATCCCGGAATTCTACACACTATATTCAAGTCATGGGGATTTCCCACCATAGATCTCTTTGCAACAGCACAGAATACCAAGTGCCCACAATATTGCTCCAGAGCAGGACCGAGACACCACTCCCTAAGCAATGCTCTCCTCATCAAATGGAAAGCACCACTGATGTATGCATTCCCTCCAACCCCACTCCTAAACTGGGTCATACACAAGATCAAGAGGGACAAATCCAGAGTCATTCTGATAGCACCTACATGGCCCAGACAAACATGGTTCCCGTACATGTTAAAGATGATGGTGAATCTGCCTCAAACCCTTCCTCTAGTACGTCACCTCCTCTTGCAAGATGCTGGACATGTCGACCATCCCATCCTCGCAGTACTCCACCTCAAGGCCTGGCTCCTCCATGGAACTGAGGAATTGAGATGACCTGTTTGGAGGAAGTAAAGGACATATTAATGAATAACCATAGAACCCGCACCTGAAAGACACATAACCGTAAGTGGAAACGGTTCAGTGTTTGATGCCAAGATAAACAAATCTTACGAACATCCTCTCCTTTACCAATGGTACTTGATTACATATTAGAACTTTAAAAACTAGGGCTGTCTATGAGCTTCATCAAGGTATACCTGGTGGTGATCACAGCTTTCCATGATAAGGTTGATTGGGTCACCATATTCGCCCACCCAACAACTAAATGTTTCCTCAAAGGCAGTGAGAACACTTACCCAGAAATAAACAACCCATCACCTATGTGGGTCCTCAATCTCATTTAACGAGGGCTTATGGGAAAACCATTTGAGCCACCGGTTCACTACTCCACCTATCTATGAAGGCAGCATTCCTCATCACCATCATGTCCACCAGATTAATGGGAGAATGTGATGCCTTAATGGCACATCGCCCATACACAACTTCCTTTAAAGACAAAGCTGCCATAAGACCACACCCCAAATTCCTACCAAGGTTGCCTCCCTCTTTCATCTGAATCAACCCATTTACTTATCTGTGTTTTTTCCAAAACCACATGCAGATGGAAGGGAGGCATCACTGCACACGCTGGACATTCGCAGAGCTCTAGCCTTCTACGTTGAAAGAGCAAAACCATTTAGAAATTCATCAAGATTATTTGTTGTTATAACAGAATGATCAATGGGAGAAACTATCTAAGTGGATATCAGGATGCATCCACCTTTGTTATCAAAACTTCCATTTACAAGTCCCAACGGGCATCTGCACACACTCTACCAGAGCACTTTCCGCATCCATAGCTTTTCTCAACAATGTCCCTATTGTCGACATTTGAAGAGCAGCAACTTGGGGATCAGCCCATCCATTCACAAAACACTATGCTATACAACAACAGTCAGCATCAGACGCTCGCTTTATACTCACGGTGTTATCCACCATCCACAACGCAACTCCAAAGCCCCTCCTTTCCACTGAGAGCACTGCTCAATAGTCACCAAAAGCAGAGCACCCACAGGAACTCTCCTCAAAGAAGAAGAGAAGATTTCTCACATGGTGCAGTAACTGAGGTTCTTAGAGATAGTTGTCTCTCTGGGTGCTCCACTACCCTCCCTCCTCCCCCCTACTTCGGAGTTTCACCTAGATTCTCTGTGGTGGAGAAGGAACCGAGGTATAATTAATCGTGCAGTGCTATGTAACTCCTTGAAGTGGCGTGAGATGGCGACAGCATGTGCACAACCCAACCAGGCTACCACAAATCTCTGATTACAAGTACAGGGCATCAAGACACCTAAAGTGACGCACCCACCGGCAGCTCCCCGCCCCGCTCCCCTGCCCCAGCTCACCTCCGCTTCCACTCCACCTCCACCTCCTCCCCTGAGCGCGCTGCCGAGTCCTGCTTCTCCCCCCTCCCTCCCAGCGCTTGTGCCGCAAAACAGCTGGGAGGAGGAGGAAGGCGGCGTGCTCGGGTAAGAGGCAGGGCCAGGGCGGGGATTTGGGGAGGGGTCCAATAGGGGCAGGGAGGGGGCAGAGTCGGGGCCAGAGTCGGGGCCAGGGGGTGGGAGCACCCATCGGCGCCGAGGAAAGTTGGTGCCTGTGCCCACAGGGACCACCATCTTGAAGAACCTCAGTTACTGCACCAGGTGAGTAACCTTCTCACATTCAATGAAGTTAAAAGGTGGCAAATTCAAAACTGATCCAGTGAAATACTTTTTCACACAATATGTGATCATCCTGTGGAACTCACTGCCTCAGGAAGTCACTGAGGCCAAGAAGTTAGCAAGATTCCAGAAAGGATTGGACATTTCTGTAGATCACAAGAATATCCACGGTTAGTTATAATTAGTGATGACAAAATTTTTGCAAACCTCCTGCTTTAGGGTTTGAGCCAATCTCAGAGACTAGATGGGACCTAGCTGGGGGGGGGGCAGATTATCCCCCATCTGATACTGTGGGGTTCCTATACTTTCTTCTGCAGCATCTGGTGCTGGGTGTTGTCAGAGACAGGTGACTGGGCTACATGGGCTTTGGTGTTGATCCCATCTGGAAATACCCATGTACCTTCTCGTAAGTCCCATAAAATTTAGTAAGGATGAAAGGTCTTTTAATGTGGTTCCATAGAAACTGATCTCCAAACCTTTCCAGTTTCATAGAGAATGATTCTAGTTTTTTGTCACCTTCCCCTAGAATTCCAAGCAGGGATAGAATTCTCACTTGAATTCTATAGCAAAGTCAAAAAATGTATAACACTTACAATCTGTAGGAGTTTTGCTTAGAGTCACCTGACTTTACAGTTTTAACTACCAGAATGAGATACAATACTTACTAATAGTATCTGTGCATTATTAACACAGCTTAACAATACAGTGACTTGATCACAGTCTTTAAGTACCTACATGGGGAACAAATATTTGATGATAAAGGGCTTTTCAATCTAGTAGACAAAGGTATACTGTACTCTAGTGGCTGGAAGTTGATGTTACACAAATTCAGGTTAGAAATAAAGTATACATTTTTAACAGTGAGGATAATTAACCATTGGAACGATTTACTAGGGGCCATGGCAGGTTCTCCATCACTAGTAATCAAACTTGGATGTTTTTCTGAAAGAGCTGCTGTAGTTCACACAGGAATTATTTTGGGGAAGTTCTGTGGCTTGTGTTACGCAGGAGATCAGATTCATTAGACCATCACAGTAGTTTCTTCTGGCCTTAGGATCTATTTATCTAATATTCATTTGTCTTATGTATGGCATCTCTATCAAAATTCCTCGTATCTTCTTCAAACATTGTATACTATCCCTTGGATCATATAAGGCCAGGGTAGAAACACTTAGGCTGAGTTTTTCAAAGTTGTCTGAGGGATTTGGATGCTACTGACTGTAATGGGAATTGGATATGGAAATCCTACAGACCACCTGACTCCTTTTGTCTCCTGTTCCTATCCATAGGAACCACTGAGCGTGAGTCTGATGAAACGCATCATGGAAGAGGCCAGTTCAGTGAGCGACATTTCCAGAGCACTCTCCACCCTGAAAGTGGCTGCGGAGTTCCTGGCCGTGACTGGAGGGGACCCAGAGCGGCTCCTGACTGAGTATGTCAGAAATGAGCTGAAGATGGAGGCTAATGCAAAGCAGTTCAAAGACTTACCAGTAAGAGATTAACTTTGGTTTGAATTCACAGCAATGAAAATGAAGCTCTTTACAATAAATATTTATTTTGTTTTCATGCTTTCTACTACAGAGTCTGAATATAGAGTAGGGTTTCTTTCAAAACTGTTCTTTGAGAGGAATTTGGGGTTTTGACTAAAGGATTTTTTTGTTTGCTTGTTTTGTTACTTTCCATGGAAAATTTCAACTTTCCATCAAAAAATGAAAACTTTTGAGTTTCATTCCAAAATGGAAAACTTTGCTCTCAAAAAAACAAAAACAGGTTTTTGAGGAAAGGTTGAAATTTTCAGCAAAACATTTCATTGAAATATTCTGTGGAAAAAAAACATTCTCTGACCAACCTTACAATATAGATTCTATAGTAGAGTATGGTATGGTATAGTCTATTTTTCTGTCAAAAAATGCCGACTTGATTAAATTGAAACATTCGGCAGGAATTCAGCTCACCCACCTCCTACCTCCCCACATTCTTCAGCTCCTCCACAGCCCCCAGGTCACTTTTGATAAAATTCATTCCGCACATAGATGTAAATAATTAGAGGGAATATTGCTCCAAACTCACTTAGATGCTTCTGAAAAGGTTACCCTGCATTCATTTGGAGACATGCATTGTCTATTTGTTACATCCCAGCACATTGTGATTGGTGCATCTAGACACTACTGCAATACAAATAAATACTAATTAATAATCCACATGGGCACAGTCTCTGAAAATGCCTGCAGGTACCAGAAGGATCCCAGCTTTTCAAACCAGAGCTTGACCATTCTACTCAATGAGCTATTCATTGAATTGAACTAGTTGAATAAACTGAAACAAAAGAAAATATTCTCTCTGTACCTACAAAAGGCTGTCAAAAACTGGTTTTGCACTTCAGCAAACTCTAGTTCCTGGTACTTAGCCAGTGACTTCCACCAGCTCAGTGGTTTGACATTCTTTAAAACTTTGGCAGTAGCAAGGCAACTGTGAAATGAATACGGAATGTACTCACTTCTGTGATGAGGATTTAAGTAACAGTTTCAAGGCTGTCTCAGTACCAAGGTCTGGGTAAACCCTGTCTGTGTTGTTTCATCCCAGGTTGTCCCACAAACCAAGCTGAAGCATATCCTGTCTTTGTGGCAGATCCTGTCAGCAAAGAGATCAGCGCTACTTGTACAAATGAACCAGGTAATGGAGGAAACCCACCCCAGTAAGTGCCTGGGACGGGGCTGTGACAAGACTGAAAACTTTCTGTGCAAATTGTTTTTAATCGGAAAATTGGATTTTTGAGAAATTGAAGTTTTTCATGGAAAATTTTGACTTTGCTGAAAAAAGTAAAGCACGAAAACTTTCCAGCTGAAAATCAAATCCTCTTTCATGCATGTTGCTAGAAGTCAGCTGCATTGCATAGAGCTCAGGTGGGAAATAAGTGATTTTCAACAGCTTGTAACTCCACCAGATCTGAACAGAGTTCCATGAGCATAGCAAAAGGCACCTCCATGACCCTATGACCATCCCGCTGCCAAATGTCATGCTGCAAGCCATGGACACAATTATTTTAGTTGTTTTGTTCTTTGGTTAGAATTCAAAATTTTCTGCAGGAAAAAATCCCAACATTTCCCCATTAGCTCTAGTTATGACCAATATTCTCTGCTCACTTGCTGTGTAGTCCCTCCTCTGCTGCTGTCAATCCCCATCACTTGGAGTTTATAAGTCTAAATGTGTCATCCCTTTCTCAAAGTTGCAGTCTACCTCAGCCAGGAGTTATTGGGCCAGAGGCAGGAATCTCTGGGGGAGATTCTCTGGCCTGGGTTAGACAAGTGGCAGGGCTTGGCTGGGCACTGTGGGACTTGATGGCCTTAATATTATTGATAAATTGCATAATCAATTGCTTGCCCACATCTTGGTTTGTTATGAACTATATTCAAGAGATCAAAGAACCAGTATCAGTCAGGTTTATTGCTGAAAGTCAGTAAGAGTATAGAGAGACGTCTGTTGGTCTTTCCCAGACCAGAAGAAGAGCTCTGTGTAGTTCGAAAGTTTCTCTCTCTCACCAACGGAAGTTGGTCCAACAAAAGAGATTACCTCACCCACCTCATCTAATATCCTGGGACCAACATCGCTACAACACTGCAAATAATAATAATACCACAGTACTGGAAGAAAGGCTTAGTGTGATACCAGTGCCCATGAAGCCGTCTTGTGCTGCTGCTATTACCTTCACTTTACACAGAAATTGTGCTCCCAGAGTTACATATTTCAGCACATAGTATTTAGAGGATGGTTTACAAGTTACAAAATGCTTTACACATCACAAAAATCCAGCCCACCAGCTGCCAGTTCCTTAACTTATTGTTCTTTATCTTCCCTTACTTTGGTTTGGATACTAGCATTCCAGGTACTGGTCCAGCTTAAACTGGGCTCAACATTAATGTATTTTGCCTTTGACAAGTTTCTTATTTTCTAATGCCAAAGCTGACTTCAGTTTTGCAAAGTGTTATGGGATACTTAGCACGAGTGAACAGGATTATAAAAAGACACAGACCAATTCAGGCCAGGTAACTGCTAGAAATGTATCTACAATATAAGTTCTATTGATATTGTGTGTTTAATTCATTGTGGTATCAATATTGATAATGTGAGATGGATCATAGATAGACAGACATTAGCCCAGCATATATTGGTCAATAATATCTATAAAAGTTTTGTTGGCCATAGGGACCACAGCACTGGCCTGAGGTCACGTGCAGAGCCGCATGCTCCATCCCACCCAAGGTGCACCCCCATGCATAGGGCAGAAGCAAGTGTTGCTGGGCTACACCTGCTCTGAGTCAAATGAGGACATTCTTCCATCAGGCACATCCTCAACTGCCCTGTGGACAGGGCATCCAGACACTTCTGCAGCACCTCTGCAGTTGCCCCCACTGACACTGTGCTTCTCATTTCAGAATCCCTTCTTCCTGATAGACAAGAGATACCATGAAGAGCTGGCTGACCAGAAGAGGAAGAAGCTAACAACTGTGCTGTCCACTGTCAATATTGAGTTCTTTATCATTGAGCTGCATGAAATGATCACAGTAACATTACAAAACTACAAAAACAGTTGGGGGTAACAACATACTTCTTTTCTCTGTGAATATGCCAAGGGCTCCGTAAGAACATTTAGATCTGGATGAAAAAACGATTCTTTTTAACTTTTAATTTGGAGGAGGCACACACTGCTTTAGAAATTATTTCCTCTTGTGGGTGTGGGGGTTTTGTTTTTGTTCGTTTTGTGAAATACAGGTAAAAAGATCAAGGCAAATGTGTGGGGGGGGAGAGGCAGACAGGCAGCAACTATGCTGTAAAAAGCTTTGGGCCAGGTTTGAAAAATCATCAGTATCATACCTAGAAACTACTCATTTGGAACCCCAGATATGTAAGTAGATCAGGAAAGGTATAGGTAGACGCGATTAGGAATCTTTTTTGTTTTGGCTTGTGGCTTCCTCTATGCTAACCCCAGGTGCTTTTGTTTTGTTTTTGTTTGCTTGTAACCTTTAAGGTGGACCTTTAAAGAATATTTAGAAGCAGAGGGAAAAGAGGAAAATTACATTGTGAATCTGATCAGCGCTGTGAACACGGACCTTCAGCTGAAGAACATCATTTCGGTGTGGAAAACCGCCGTGCTCAGCAAATCATATACCCACACCTACATCAAAGAGTGAAAGGATCCATGAATCATAGGTGCTGAATCCGTGGGTGCTCCAGGACTGGAGTCCAGGAACCACCTTTTCTGCAGCATGCAGGAGGCACGGGGGGGGGGGGGGGAGAGCAAGGGCGCTGCACACTCATGGGAGGGGGCAGAATGGGACAGGGTGGGGGTGGGGTCTTGGGCGAAGGGGTAGAGTGGGGCCGGGCACTGGGGCAGAGCCAGGGGAGAGCACCTCCTGGCACATCAGAAAGTCAGCACCTCTGCCATGAATTGTTTCCTGTAGAGATCAAAATGAATTGCTGTGCCCAGCCTGTAATTCACGGTGATTTAGAAAGAGGAGCTTCCTTGAGAAGTGAGTCTCATCAAATCACCAGGCCTATGTATCAGCTGAATCAAAATAAGCCTTCAGTCAGATGTAAGTGTGCCTAGGCCCGGGCATTTGAGTTGAGATGTTATGGGCATGACCAGTTATGGAAGTGTTGCTTTGCGTGTTGCTTTCTGCAAGCAGGTGAATTTCACCCACCGAGAACTACAAATGGTGGGTATGATTCTCGTGCCACTTAGGCCTTGTCAACATGTAGCGCTTTAATGATACCAGTGTAGAAAAGGGGAATAAGAGATACCTCTGTAAGTGCATTTATCTGTAAGGGGAAGCATTGGAGCCCAGTGGCTAGAGCCAGGGACTGACACTCAAGAGACCTATGTTCTGTTCAGTAAAATGGGGGAAATGATACTGATCTGTTACATAAAGTGCCGTGGCATCTGCAGGTGAAAAGCACTAGCTGCTATCATACAGGTGTAACTGTCCCCAGCCTAGGGCTGGCTGGAGTATAGCTATTTTGGTAAAACAATCACACTCCTCACTGACAGTGTCAGACCAGCACAACTTCCAAGTGCACTGAGCAGTAACTCACTGGGCTCAGTGGTGCTGGTTCTTTGCAGCCTGGCTACTCCTGCAGTCATTTGCACCTGAGCAAAGCGCATGTAAAGTCCCACCAAATCAGAAAGGTCCTTTGCAGCCACGTTGCCCTCTCTTGGAGCAAGGACGACACAAGGTGCAGAACAGAGAAGGAGAAGACCCCATGGATAACAGAGCATTAGGCCTCTAATTGGTCCGAATCTCCCTCCATTGTATTCTAGCTCTTTACTTGTGCTTTAGCAGATGGAATCCTCACCAGTTCTTCGGGCAGTGTCATGGCATGCACCGCATTACAGACTATGTGATCATAGTGGTCTCTTCTGGCCTTACAATCTGTGAGTCTCTTCTTGGTGCTTTGCAGCTACATGAAAATTAGGTGTTAGAAAAAAATATTTGCAACTATAGTTTTCTGCCTGGCTTTCAATGCAGACATTTCCCTGTGCCTCTCAATAAACAATGGAACAAGAAAGTGTCACATTCTTCTAATTATTACCAGATTTGGAGACTGTAAAAGTGAGGTGGGGGGGTATGTCTGAGAGCCCCGTGTGAGTGTGTGTGCTTATATGTGTGTGCGTGTGTCAAGGCTAATTCCCCACTCTGGCACTTCAAGTGCAGAAGGTGGGGGCCCGCAAGGACTCCAAAAATTAATACTTGCCACTCCAGGCTGGTAATGCTGCCACCACCCAAGTGAAAACTGCCTTTTGCCAGTCCAGGAAAAAGCTCACTTGGGAAGATTTTTTTTTCTGAGGCCTCTCGGCTTTTTCACACCTTCCTTGGGGAAGTCGAGAAAGAAAACAAAAGAAAAGGGAAGCTCAGCTGTTGTATCAGCTGATTAACAAAAGCACAGCCTCTTAAGACACAGAAATCTAATCATGTTCTTAGAAAAGGTAAATTTTATTGAAAAAAGAAAGAACACACATCTGAAAACTTAGGCTATTAGGGATTAAACACCAAAAATGACTTGCTTGGGGGTTCAGCTTAAAGGTTACAAGCAAACAATAACAAAACAAAAGCACCTGGGGTTAGCATAGAGGAAGCCACAAGCCAAAACAAAAAAGATTCCTAATCGCATCTACCTATACTTTTCCTGATCTACTTACATATCTGGGGTTCCAAATGAGTAGTTTCTAGGTATGATACTGATGATTTTTCAAACCTGGCCCAAAGCTTTTTACAGCATAGTTGCTGCCTGCCTGCCTCTCTGCAGCCCTGAGAACAAAGACACCCACACCCAGCAGTTTTTCCCAATTTGAAAGGGTACAGCTTCCCTATTGGTTCCCCTGGTCACGTGCCAACTCATTCTAAGCTTACCTCTTAACCCTTTACAGGTAAGACAATTAGGGTACAGCTGCTAAGGAGGATTCTATAGCTAACTGAATGGTTGAGGAGTTACACAAGGGTGCTGCCCCCTCATTTATCACAGCATGCATATACATTTGGGAGAAAAATTCTTTTCATTCTAGTGAAATGAATTGGCATAGGAGTTTTTTTAATAGCGTTTGAACATTCTATGAATATTTTCAAAAGATAAAATTTCCCTGCCCCCCCACTTTGAATCAGGTCAAGAAGACAAAATCCCCAAAATATTCACAAACTAAACAACCTAGTTTTTCCATTTTGGATCAGCTGAAACGTTTCATTTTGATAGCTTTGAAATATTTCATTTTTTTTCTCATTTTAACCTTTTGCTTTCAATCTAATCAGTTTCAATTCTAAAACAAAGTCACTTTGCACCAGAAAACAATTTTTTCATTTAGAAATTCCCAAAACAAAAATGATTTGACAATTTTGAAACATTTTTCTCAACTTTTTTTGAGCCAGGAAATTTTTTGAACCCAACCCCATTCTGGGTTCAATGAAGCTGCATTTATCAATGAAAAAACAATTTATCAAAAATTTCTCCGTTCTACTTTAAACCTTCTCTATATAACTCACCCTTACACGTTGTGACCGTCTGTCTCCCTCTTCCCCCTCCTGCCAATGGTCGAATCAGATAGATGAATGAGCCGGCTACTGCCTTTTACTAGCAGAGAGGTGTCTTACAGCTCAGGTAGGAACAGCTCCTGCTGTTAGTGCTAGATAATCACAGGTTCAATCCATGCTGCTGGTGGGACATGTTATATCCGCACAAAGAAATGGCACCAAAGTGATTTAATTTTAAGGCTGAGCTCTTCCACTGATATAAATTTGTTTTATATCAATTTAGTTTAAGCCAGTTGGGAAAATGTTTAAGATGAACCAAAACAAGCCAGGTTTCCACAAATGGGATATATTATGTGATGTCCACATGGCCTTTTGCAGTAAATTTAACTAACTTGATTTTAATAGTGATTTCAGGCCAAGTCTGCTCTCAAACTTCCACTGGCTTAATTAAACTGTTTAGTTAAACTAGTTGAAAATCCTGTGTGATTACTCTCATTTCAGTGTAAGAGTGGCTTATTTCTGTTCAGCTTAGCCCGGCTCCTAGGCCATGTCTACACTGGCAAGTTAAAGCGCTCTAACTTGCTGGCTCAGGGGTGTGAAAAATCCCCGCCTCCCCTGAGCGCAGCAAGTTTGAGCACTTTAAAGTGCTAGTGTGGACAGGCTGGGAACTGGTCTCCCAGTGCTCTGCGCTATTCTCCTCATGGAAGTGGATTACACAGAGCGCTGGGACTTCTGTAGCATAGACTAGGCCAGAGTCATCTTAGGGCATGCTACACTTGCAAATGTAGAGTGCTTTGAGTTAAACCAGCCTTCGTAGAGCGCAGTAGTGAAAGCTCTGCTGTCTGTCCACACTGACAGCTTCAAGCGCACTGGCGTGGCCACATTTGCAGCACTTGCAGCGGCATTGGGAGCGGTGCATCATGGGTAGCTATCCCAGCATGTGACTGCAACGTGCTTTTCAAATGGGGGTGGGGTGGGGTGGAGTGTGACAGGAAGTGTGTTGTGTGTATGTGGGGGGAGAGAGAGTGGGTTTTTGGGGGGCTGAGAGCATGTCAGCAGTGGTGAGCTGGAGCTGGTTGTTAAATTTAGAAGCCCTTTTCGAACTGGTTGTTCCGGGACAACCAGGGTGG